TGGGGGCCTCCGGGGGCCCCCGGGGGCCCCTCACTGCTGGGGGCCCCTGGGGGCCCCTCATAGTTGGGGGCCCCTGGGGGCCCCTCATAGTTGGGGGCCCCTGGGGGCCCCTCATAGTTGGGGGCCCTCGGGGGCCCCCGCGGGCCCCTCACTGCTTGGGGCCCCCGGGGGCCCCTCACTGCTGGGGGCCCCTGGGGGCCCCTCACTGCTGGGGGCCCCTGGGGGCCCCCCTGGGCTGGGTAGCTTCAGCAGCAAAGAAGGACGCACTTGCAGCCGCTGCTGCTGCCGGCGTTCCTCATCAGCCCTGCAGCAGCAGCAGCAGCAACAGTAGCAACAGCAGCAACAGCAGTTGCAGCAACAGCAGCAACAGTAGCAACAGCAGCAACAGAAGTTGCAGCAGCAGCAGCAGCAGCAGCAGTGCTGCAGCGGCAAACCTCAGGGCTGCTGTAGCAGCAACTGTCGCAGAACAAGCAGCAACACCATCACTAACAGCAGCAGCAGCAGCAGCAGCACCAGCAGCAGCAACAGCAGCAGCGGCACCAGCAAGTGCAGCAGCAGCAACTGCAACAACTGCAGCAGCAGCAACTGCAGCAGTAGAAACAGCGTGCGCAGCAGCAAAAGCAGCAGCAGAAGCAGCATCAGCAGCAGCATCTGCAGCCAATGCAGCAGCAGCTGCAGCAGCAGCAGCCGCAACAGCAACAGCAGCAGCGAGCGCAGCAGCATCATCAGCAGCAGCAGCCAATGCAGCAGCAGCATCAGCAGCAAGTGCAGCAGCAACAAGTGCAGCAGCAGCAAGTGCAGCAGCAGCATCAGCAGCAAATGCATCAGCAGCAAATGCATCAGCAGCAGGTGCAGCAGCAGCAAGTGCAGCAGCAGCATCAGCAGCAAATGCATCAGCAGCAAATGCAGCAGCAGCAGCAGCAGCAGCAGCAGCAGCAGCAGCAGCAGCAGGACCTCTTTTTCTGTCTTTCTTTGAGCTGTTGCAGCGCCTTTGCCTTTCTTGCTGCCGCCTGAATTCGTTTTTTGTTTTTGTTTGTCTTTGGGTAGCCCAAGTATCTATTCTCCCGCAGCAGCAGATCCATACTACCCCACCAGCAGCAGCAGCAGCAGCAGCAGCAGCAGCAGCAGCAGCAGCAGCAGCAGCAGCAGCAGCAGCAGCAGCGAAGGCAGCAATGTGAGAAGATGCAGCAGGAACAGAAGCAAATGCAGCAGCAGCAACAACAGCAGC